TGGGATGAAAACCTCTGCCAAACACACACATAGACCCCCCCCCCCCCGCCCCACACACATACACACACACACACCTTTCACAGGAGACGCTCTGTAAAATTCCCCACATATGGCAAACATATTTTAGGGGAAGCACCATGACTAGAGGCCAGAGGGAGAGAAAGAAAAAGAAAATAATGAGAAAAATCTTCAATAAGCCTAAATTGTTCCAGTCAGACTGCTGAGAAAGAATGCAAAGGATTGGAGATGAAAATTATTGGTAAAATCAGCATTATAACATAGCTAAATTCTTTCCCTACTTCAGATGTTACTAGAACTTACTCTGAAGTACCACAATAGCACCTGGGGAACTAGCCTTTACATTTAGCTGTAAGTACTTTGCTTAACACAATGAATATACATGAAAATAGCACATTCGGTAGAATGAAAAAATTCTCTAATTTACAATTTCAAATATTCTTCATTTTACTTGTAAATAATTGTGGGGAGGGGATGCAAGTATAACTAATTCTAACTGGCAGTGGCTCCCAACACTCTAATTGTTTTCTAAATTGCTATTTTCTCCGTGACATATCTAATGATCAATTAAAGGCACAGTGGATTTCCCAACAGAAAAGAACAAAAACCTTGTTAAAATGTAAACAACTGATCTCTACATGATCTGTTTGAAAACTGATTTATCAAATTTTCTAAAAATAAAACCAGAAAAAAAAAAGACTCCAGTTTCTGCTTTAAGGAATTATTGGCGAAAGTTAATCAGATCATCTGAAGGAACACAAAATAATCTGGTGATAAAAAGCTGTGCAGTGGAAGGAACACCAGCCCGGTGCTCCCAGGGGCCTCATTCTGAAGGCTCTCTGAAACTGGGCTTAGATTTTCACCCTGAGGGTGGCAGAGAGGTGCCCCACATTTTAAGTAGAAAGATGATGGAGGCGACAGTGTGGAAAATGGGCTTTCAGTTTCTGGGACTGGCGCAGGAGTAAACGTGTGACTTAATTGTCCAGGCAAGAAATTATGACGGCCCTGAGGTCAGCTCTGGCTCTGCACCGCCCCTCTGCCATGACCCCTGAGGCAAAGGCATGGTGGGGCCCCGAATAAGGTTCTCTCCCAGGAATGTACCTTCCGGAAGTGGTACCTTGGAAAGGAAAAAAAAAGGACTGGATCTGCCACCTACAAGCTATGTGACCTCAGGTAGCTAATTAGGAATATATATTTGTTAAGCATTTTACTAAGTACCAGATACCTCTCAGAGATGGATTTTCTAATTTATTTAATCTTTTCATACCCTAATTTATTCATCCTAAAATGACTTTTATACTTGGCTTTTTAAATGATAATCAAGTCAAGGTCCATGTACTACATTTGATTATGGATCCTAAGTGTCTCATTTTTTTTAATGCTTTTTGATTTGTTGATCATGTCTTATTTCCTATAAAATAACTTGTGTGGAAGAACTCCTCTTCCTCCTCCTCTTCCATGGCTAAATGCAGCTTTACGGCCATGCTAAAGGGAGGGTGTCTAAGTGCTCTGGGCTCTAGACACACACAGTTTCTGTTCACAGTATTAACGTGGTGATGAGCAACTACGTGGGATGGTGGTTTACAGTCACTAAATTTCAGCCAACCCACACTAGTGCAAAAAGGAAGCAACAAAAAATTAAGGTCTATTTCATGTTCAAAAGAGCTAATTTTATAGCAAATAAAAAAAAAAACACCTGGTCAACATATCAAAGACATATCAACATACCAAAAAAGTGGTAGCATAAAAATCAAAGTTTTTAATTTTTTTAAACACAGAAAAATCAATTTTATAGGAAATAAGACATGATCAACAAATCAAAAAGCATTAAAAAAAAATGAGACACTTAGGATCCATAATCAAATGTAATACATGGACCTTGACTTGATTATCATTTAAAAAGCCAAGTATAAAGGTCATTTTGGGAGAATCCGCATAATTTGAATATGAACTGGGTATTAGAAGATAAGTGGAATTATCAACTTTGTTAGGCATGGTGACAGTATTATGGTTATGTAAGAAAATTTCCTTGGCTTATAGAGAGGCACACTGAACTGCTTAGGGAATGAAATGCCTTGATATGTGGTATCTGCTTTCAAATACTCTAACAAAGAAAACAACAATCATCAGATAAATCACAGAATGTTCATAAGTGAAGGGAATAGAGCATATTATTCTCCATTTTTGTCTCTATCTATAATTATAATTTTCTTTATTAACTATTTACAAAGGAAAGAAAACCTCATAAAGTATCCAGTCCATCCACTGAGTTGTGATAAGGTTGGCTGCCCCTATTACGTAAGTGGATGGCCCACACCAAGCACGTCTTGAGATCAGAAAGACACCTGAGAAGTCAGTCTTCCGTTCTGTCTTTGGGGGATACATTGTAGAGTGTGGGCTGATAAGCACCTCCCTCAAATTTTAATGGCAAGTTATCAGGACTCTCCCAAGGGAGCTGAAGGCAGGGATGGGAGTGGAATCCTGAGATGGTTCAGAGTTGCACGCAGGCCCCTCAAGAACCCCAACTCTCTGGCCTAGGCCCACAACCACTGTGGGAACCAATGAGCTCACTGTGTACCATAAAAAAAAAAAAATCAAAGGTGAATTTTATTATTCCTCACTTACAAGGGAATTCTTACAAAGTCTCCATATTGCGGGTTACTCTTTCAATTACCATTCTGAACAACTAAGTGCTATGTGGAAGAAGATACCTCAGTTATTGCAAATATTAAATGTTTATGGAGGTCACTGCCAAAAATCCTTTTAAAGGAGAAAAAATGTATAATATGGTAGTCATTCCTGGGGGTGACTCAATGTGCTCAATGTGCAAGTATTGGATGTGGTTGTAAATAAGCATTTAATTTTATTATTATTTTTTTAAATCTTCACCTGAGGATATGTTTTTAGAGAGAGGAAGGGAGAAAGAGACAGACGGAGAGAAACATCAATGTGAGAGAGACACATCGATCAGTTGCCTCCCATGCATGCCCAGACTGGGAATCAAACATGCAACCTAGGTATGTGCCCTGACCCGGGGATCGAACATGCAACCTTTTGGTTCATGGGACAACACTCCAACCGAGCCACTAGGCCAGGACAATAAGTGTTAAAATTTGAAGGTCACTTAAAAAAACAAACTGGCCAGTGGTTACTTTGTGGAGATAAAGCATTTTCATCTGCAAGAAGTATAGAAATAAATACTGGCAATACAATTTTACTGGGAATACAATTTTTAGAAACAGTATCACATAAGGATCAAAAGAACACTTGTATCAAAAAAAGCTCAAATGGGCTGAAGGTGATGTGCTTTGGAAAATCCATTACGTGACTCAAAAAGTGGCTCTAATGATGACCAGCACTGTAATGTCAGAGATGGATGTGAACAGCTTGAGTAAACATTGTTTCATAAAATATGAGAGGCACATTCCTTTCAGAGAGAAGGAGGTGGTTCTTCAAGGTAGACAACCAAGAGGGCGAGAGATCTGGGGACCACTAGTTTGAAGAAGATAAAACCTGTGGAGTAAGGATGGTGCAAAAAAAGGTCTCCAAGCATTTGAAGAGCAGTCATGTGGAAAACAGAGTTGATTTATTATTATTTTTGAGAGCAGAGGTTAAGTTAATGGACGGAAATTATAGAGAGAGAGACAGGTGTTTGCTCTATATAAGTAAGTAGCTTATAACAATTAGATCTGTCCAAGATCGAATTTGAAAAGCCATGTGTAAATAAAGGCTTCCTGACCAACTCTAAGGAAGGAAATTGAAGCAAATTAGCTTTATGGTCATTTTAGTATTTAGATTTTATTCTTATATTGAATTATCTCCAAGCTGGCAATAAGTTTAACTTGTTTTGTTTATTTTTAAGATTTTATTTACTTATTTTTAGAGAGGGCGAAGGGAGGCAGAAGAACATCAATGTACGGTTATTTCTCCCACACCTCCTACTGGGGACCTGGACTGCAACCCAGGCATGTGTCCTGGCTAGGAATCGAACCAGCGACCCTTTGGTTCGCAGGCCGGCACTTAATCCACTGAGCCACACCAGCCAGGACCAAGTTTAACTTGTGATAACCAATTTATTTTGGAAGATACTCTCCATTTATTATATCTTTTTTAAATGGTGCCTCTGTGTGAATCATTATGTTAGGCTCTGTGGGTGATAAAGTATACATAAAAATAATAGTTGTCCGAAGCTAATGATCAAGGAAGGAGATATACACATGTATAACACATGCCGCATGTGTATACATGTTAACATGTGTAACATACCATTCCTTGGCCGGGGCTGTCACAAGGTTAAAGTAGATGTGTAATGAGGGCATGATCCAATGAACATTTTCTCCTTTTTGCTAGGGAGTCTCTTAAGGGCCCTGTCCCGAGTCCAGGCCATCTGCCTGTCCAAGAGTAAACGGACTCACCCATCGTGAAAGTATGAGTCAAACATTTTGGCTTTCTTCTGAAGCCTTTCTTGGCTTGGGCTCAAGTCACTGGACTTTGCCTTCCAATTTCCCAACCAGTTCTCTCACATCTTTTTAAAAGCTATTATACAAAGAATGAACAATGGGACTTATCCAATAGGCCTTCTAAATGCAATATCCAATAAAGCAACACTGGAGTCACGTAACACCATTGGTCACTAAATCCTGTCCTTGATCCCCAGGAGATTAGGCAACAATATGAAGTCATCAGTTTGAATGCAACCCAGTACGGAAAACCTTCCAGGGTTGCAAGTACTGGTGGGACACAACTTTTGGTATACAAAGCACTACACACTTTCTACGTATAGTGGGAGGGAAAATGAAAAGTACTACTGTGTTATAAAGATACTTAAATGAATACAAGGAAAACATTAAAATGAAACAATCACATGGGTTGAAATCACCCTTGAACAATTTTTTTTTTAATTGGAGATAGGTAAAGCATTCAAAATTTTCCTCAAAAAGTCTGAAAATAAAAGTCTTTTTGGTTCTAACTGAGCAGCTGACCTGAGATTGTTGGAAAAGGATGCTCTTCTCTGGATTTATGCCGCAGGCAAGAAGGGCTGCGGTCATGTCCAAGATGCTCTGCCGCAAGGTGGCTGGGTCTTGGGGGACGGTGAGGGAGTGTAGGTCAACGATGCTGTACAGCACGGAGCCAGGCTCGTCCTGCAAACTCACCCAGCTCTCGATGGCTCCCAGGTAATTGCCGAGGTGAGGGATTCCTGTAGGCTGGATGCCCGAGAACACTCGTCTCACGGCATCTTTCTGGAACAGAGGAAAACACAGACATTTTCTTCTGAGGGAGAATCCATGAATCCTAGGTCCACATGACCACACCTACCATGGCTAGTCCTATTTTTTTAAGCTGCAGTCTGACAGTCCTCATTCTTAAGCATTTGCTTTGTGCCTACTCTGTGCAAAGCATGGGGTTAAGTGCTCTTCGGGGCAGAAAATGATATTCAAAATGTGGGGGTTTTTGCACTTAAAAACTTATACAAAGACATAAAGAACAGGTCTGCATCCTCAAGAGAATGCGATCTCATTGGGGACAGAGACTATGTTTAGGAAAAGATAAGTAGCAGTACACTGTGGCGATGTGACCTTGATCAGTTTGGAAAGATAAATGGGGGGTAGCGGGGTACTGGCGGGAGTTCCCGGGGGGAAAGATGCCTGTGGGCCCACGGGTCAGTGCGGAAGACTTCAGACACAGAATCAAACTGCACTGGAGAGTAAAAGGACCTCAAGGGCTTTTCCTGTGATTTCATTCATTTTTAAATTAAGGCGATAAAGGCTACTATTTATTTAATTCAGTTTTCTTTAAATATAATTGCTGATATAATTATCTGCAATATCATATAATTACCTAAGTATATATTAAGTATAGTTAGTTACATAATTAATATAATTAAGTGTGCAGGATCTTGGGCTAGAAATTTGGAAACCTACATTCTATTTCAAATATTGCCTCTTGATAAAGTCACTTAACCTTTTCACGCTTCAGTTTCCTTTCATGCTTTCAGTTTCCTTTTGATAAGTCATATTTGGTTTTTTATTTCTTCAAAAGGAGTTGTATAATTTTTTAAAATTATACAGAAAATGCGTCATTATAATGGCAGCCATAATTTACGGAACAACCACTTCATTGCAGACATTTATGCTCAGTGCTTTATATGATGTATTTAATCCTTATAATTCCCAATACAGTTGGAATCTTACTACCTCCCATTTGCAGGAGAAACCTGAGGCTCACAGATATTAATAGGTTGCCCACGGTCACACAAGTGAGTGGTGGAATGGGGATTTCAAGCCAGGAATCACCGGCTTCAAAGCCCCATGTGTTCCTTCCACCAGCTACCATGTTTTGCACGGACACCATCTATTAAGACTTTATTACATTCACTGTATTAATTCTGCAACTTTTCTGTAGATTGGAAATTTTTCAAAAAAATTTACGGGGAAAAAGAGACTATTCTAACACATATATCACTGTGTACCATGTGCCAAGTTTCTCTAGTGTACACACCTAAAAGTAGAAATTCTGGGGTCATAAGGTATGCATATGTATCTTCAACTGTACTACAGTGTGCTGAGCTGTTCCCAGCTATGTAACAATTTGCAGTTTCTACCATGGATTCCTGTTGCTTCACATCCTCAACACTTTGCCAGCATTGTATTTTTAGCTGATTTGAGTGGATATGAGGTAGAATCTCATTATGGCTTAGATGCATTTCTGTGATTATTAAAGAAGTTGAGAACTCGCATGCTATTGTCTACTTTTACTTCCTCCTCTGCGGTGAGCCTATTCAAGTTATTTTGCCTACTTTTGTCAGATTGGATGGTCTTTTTATTGATTTAAGAACTTTTATATATTCTGGATACTAATATTTTGTCAATTACACATGTGTTCAATATACTCTCTCATTGTGAGGCTATCTGTCTTCTTTATGTTATCTTTTGATGAGGAGATGTTCTTTATTTTACCAAATACATAATTTTTGACTGCAGGTTTTTATGTCATAGAAAAAAATCTTTCAGTACCCTGAGGTCATGAAGATACATGTGCACACACACAGGGGTAGGCAAAAGTAGGTTTACAGTTGTGAGGATGCAAAACAGTTTATTCTTGAATTATTATTTATTAATTATTATATTATTTATACAAACAACTGTAAACCTACTTTCCTCCCTGTATATACTTTTATAAAGCATACGTATGTGCATGTGTGTATGCTTTAAACTTCTATCTTTCACACTTAAATCAGTATCCATTTAGAGTTTTTTGCATATGGCATAAACGAGGCATCCAATTTCTTTTCTTTTTTTCCCATGTAGAAACCTAATTGTTTCAGCACCACGCAGGGCAGATTCTTTTCCCACTGCTAAGGAAGGCTACTTCTGTCATCAATCAGGTACCTCCGTATGTTTGGGTCTGCATCCGGTTTTTCTATTCTGCCCCACTGGCCCATCTGCCTATCACTGCACCGGTATCACAGATGCTTTTTAGTCAACCTTGGGACCCAGTGGAAGAAGGCTTTTCACCTCCTTCTTCTTCAGGAGCACTTACCCATCCTTGGCCCTTTACATATCTCAATACATTTTAGATTCATCTTGTCAAGTTCTAAGAGAAAAAAAATGTTGGGCTTTTTGGTCAAGATTACATTGAGTCTACAGATTGCTTTGAGGAGAACCGACATTTTTATAACATCGGGTCCTCCAATCCAGGAAATCATATAACATATGAGTACATAATGTAAAACACAGTGACTGTAGTTGATAACACTGTGTTGTATAATTGACATTTGCTTAGAGACCAGAAGTTAAACGTTCTCTCTCTCACACACACACATACACCCATAAATACGTGAGATGATGGGTGTGTTAATCAACTAGATGGGGGGATCCTTCCACAGTGTGTATCAAATGACCACAGTGCTTACTTTAAATATCTTACAATTTTATTTGTCAATTATACCTCAATAAAGCTGCAATTTTTAAAAGTAACATTAAAAAGTCCTTACCTTTATACCTGACACTAACCCCTAAGAGCTAATCTACCTTAGATATGTTAGTGCCGAGGCTACTTAAATTTTGCCTTTCCCTTCCCTAAGAATTCCAAATCCTACAAATATGGCTTATTTTCCCCATATCTGCTTATCTTCCTCTCTGCTCCTGAGACGATAGCCCTAAAATGGAATGCTACGTCAGAGGTCCACGGTCCAGAATTGCACTTGATCTAATTACTCAGGAGACCTACAAGATTTGTGACTCTGAGGATGTGAAAAATATCTTTGAAGTAACTGAGAACAGATACATCTTACTACTTAAAACCACACACATGCACATACACAATAGGCCTTCAAATGACTAACTCCCCAAATCATAAATTAGAAACATTATTTTAAAAATAGTTTGTAACTGAGAACTGAGGCTGGGGAGAGGAAGAGGGAGGGAGAAAGAGAAGGGGAGAGGGAGGGACGGAGGGTAGGTGAGGGACAGAGGAGTTAGCATAGAATAAACACCTATCACTGAGGCTTCATCCAGTACCTTGAGACCCTAACCAGCCCTGAGTTCCTGATAGGGAAATAAGCAAAGGAGCTTTCAGTGAGGTAAAAATGATTAATGGGCTTTAGGGACTGATTGATGAAGGGAGAGAGCAAAGCAGAAAAACAAGCTCTGAACTTAATAAATGGAAGAGAAAAAAAAATACCTTCCAGAAATACTTGACCTAGGATGAAGAGGGACTATTTATGTTAATGTAAATAGTTATGAAGAGTAGTAGTATCAATCTTAAAAAAAAAGAATATGAATATTCCCACATAAATCCCTCCATGGTTAAACAGAAGAATTATTCCCCAGGAGAAATGGAGAAACTAATTCTTGAGAAAACTAGAGGAGAAAAGCACTAGAGGACAGCCTATGGGAAAAAAAGAATTGTGACCAGTGGGAATGGACTAAACATGATCTAATACATCTTTTCCATTCTGTAGTTCCTGTGATTCTATACATCCACACAGGGAATGATGTTATCAAGAAATAAGAGCAACAAGAAATGTTTTCTTCAGTGTTCAAGGAGCCATTAACAAAATACAGCCTCTAAATGAGAACTGAATTCCTGGCCTGAAAAATATACAGAGAGCATCCTGCTCTTCCGCGGTGAGTTTACGTTCCCGTCTGCTCCCTTGCAAGAGCCAGCAGGCAGCCAGGCTGCATGGCAGGGGAGGTTCGCCTGGTACCATGAGATCACAGGGCTGGAATGCGGAGTTTGGGTAGTGGGAGGATGGGGGTCCTGTGTTCAAAAGCACGAGAGCTGGAAAAAAACTGAAAATGAAAAGAGTATGGGCTTCCCAGTGGACAAAAGGCAAACCACAAAGAAAACAACTTCAAGACTCGCCCACAGGCATCCGTTCACTCCTAGGAAGCCTGGAGCATCAACCTACAATTCCATCCCCATCGCGGTGTTCAGAGGATTAAAAAAAGGAGCATTTTCACAAAATAGGGTTTCGTTTTTATTTCTGGTGTATTTTCTTAACCAATGCTGCTTTCAATCAGTATGTTCACTGGCTCACTTTGTAACAGGTGGGTGTTCGAATCAAAAGGAGAATTTATCAATCTGGCAGATGCAGCTAAAACTCTTCTGTCTTAAGGTACCGAGCACGTGCAAAATTTATAATCATCTTAATTTAAATTATTGCACCCAAAAGCACTTGAAAAAATCTCAAGCTGCTAATTATGTAGCTTGAGATTTTTGTGAAAAAGGTAATTTTTGTGATTAACTAAATAGAGCTTCTGTCTTTAATTGCAAGTGAATAAAATACATTAAAAGGAGGCTGCCTACCAGCTTCGAAACACTCACATTTGGTACAGTGGTGGGACCCAAACACGTCAATGAGAGATTTCTAGACTCTTCTTACATCAAGTGTTTGCATCCATCTGTCACAGCAATCGTCCATTCAACACACCCGTTGCAATTACAGTCAAAGAGGTAAACCAAAACCTTGGCTGAACACCTACTATGTCTGATTGGTTCCATGAATGGCATGTTATCATAGACTGTGATTTAAAAAAGTAATCAACAACACTGTCAACTAAATGGGATGAAAATCTCTTTCTATAAGCTTATTTATTCTTCTAATTGTTGTATACATAAAACATACAGCTTAACACACTCACTCCTTAGCTCTCTGCCAGTGTTTCTCAATTTTATCATTTACGTCACCCAACTATTTGAATCCTAACCTCCTAGAATCTATCTTCAATATTTTCTT